TATTAGAGTTATTTATATATTTTTCACACTAATCCTTTTATTGTTTTTTCATTGGTTATAACTATTTTCTGTGGGTTGTCTTTTCATCTTATTTGTAGTGTCTCACCATTGCTTTTCATATATCAACACAAATATATAGTTATAAAATACCAAAATAATACACTTGAGTGTTTCATGTAAATATGAAATACGATATACCCTCTGTCTCCTAGAAGTGCGCAAACCAGCACAGCAGCTATTTCTGAACCCCCTCTTCAATACTAGAATCCAACCTTGCTTGCTTTTTCTTTCTTTTTGTGAATATCAAGGATATATAATGAAGAAATATACAAGCCTGAACAGGTAGAAACAAAATCAAAATCATCTGGTCACAATCAGGTGGTCTTTGGGGCCACATTTGACCTGAAGAGGTTTTTTTTTTTTTTTTTTTTTGCTAGAACAGTGTTGGCCCACAGTGTTTCAAATACTTTTGAATTAGTTGCCAAGCTATTTCACATTAAAAATGTTCAGCATTTTGGTATACCTGTAAAAACTAGGACATCTGGCAGCGCTGGCCTGTGTCCCCATGGAGAGCGATTTCCTGGAGCTGAGTGGCAGCTGACCCCTTTACACAGAAGATCACTCTCTAGTTTGTCAAAATCCTCACTCCTCTCACTGGTCTCTTCTGCATCTATTTGAGCGGCAGTTGTCATTTATCCGTGGGTCCAAGCTCCTGTTGCCCTCACTCTAGGCCCACTTCAGTCATCTACATGACCTGCCTGGACCCGGCAGTCATTTGAGTTTGTATGTTAGCTAACAGGAGGTGAGAGAAGGTAAAACTGCCCCATTCACTCCCACCAGACAAAAAGTACCAGGGAGAGGTTTGTAACTGGTAGTTTTTCCGTGAGGGTACCTTCCTAATTATGACTGTTTAGCTTTAAAATCAGTACCAGAACATCTTTGTTAGAGTGTTCTTCTGTGTCTCATCGTGGTTCAGAGTTGGCAGATGTGGGTAACCAGGTAGAGAGAGGGGCTTTAGCACCTTGTAGCCCTGGGGTGTGATGAGTGGTAGGTGCCTGACTCACAAGCTCCTGTAGGTCTAAGTTAACCTTTGCTTAACTGATTCTTTCTTGAACATTAAAATCCCTAGTTGTCTTTTCTAACTATCAAAATAAAAAAGAAAGCCTTTGGGCTGGCCTGGTGGCGTAGTGGTTGGGCTCGTGTGCTCGGCTTCGGCGGCCTGGGGTTCGCAGGTTGGGATCCCAGGAGCAGACCAATGCACCACTTGTGAAGCCGTGGTGTGGCGGCGTCCCATATAAAGTAGAGGAAGGTGGGTACAGATGTCAGCCCAGGGCCAGTCTTCCTCAGCAAAAAGAGGAGGATTAGCAACGGATGTTAGCTCAGGGCTAATCTTCCTCACACACCCACAAAAAAAGCCTTATAGGAATTATCTTTTGCAATTCTGGGCTATTCAAATGAGCCTTCAGACACGTATTTCACTCTCTGTAGCCTTTCCTATATTTTTTGTCCTTTCAAAAAGGTCAAATTTTGTTTTATTGATGAATCTCCATTAACAGATTTCAAATATTCCAACATATCACAATATAACAAGCCGCATCCCTTTCCTTCTCTGACTTGCTCATAATGAAGTTTCTCTTCCCAAACCCCTACCCATACTCAACCTAGACAAGATCCTAGTGGTACTGGGATAAATGAGTACTAGTTTTTATACTCCGGCCTGGGTCGCTCCTAGACAGGAAGATGCCTCAAGGGTGAATAGGCTCTTCCCCTTTCCCACCTTCTATTCCTGACTAAGGTTCTGAAATAGCTAAGATGCCTAGCTGTATCCTTGAGAATTCTTTTTTCTACTCTTGCTCAAATCTTCTTGGCCCCTTCTTATGTACTTTTGGAATCGATCACTTAAATTGAGAAATGGTTCTTTTGTATATATTACTTTATGTTGTATTATTAAGGTAGGCTAATTGCTGTAATAAGCAAACCTCAAAAATATATAGTAGCTTGAGCACTATGTTTTTTTTTTCTCTCATTTAAGACCTGGGTGAACAGGTTTGAGAGGAGGCCTCCTCCATTCAGATATTCAGGCACCAAAGGCCCATGGAGGTTCTACCACCTTCAATACATGAATTCCAAGTTTGCGGTGGGGATCGTCTCTAGTCCAGCCAACCAGAAGAAGAAAAATGTATGGAGGCATGAGTATGGGAAGTTTATATTAGTTAGTCCTAGAAGTGGTGTGCATCACTTCCTCCCGCATTCCATTGGTCAAGACTCAGCCACAAGGCCGATCTTAGCTGCAGGGAAGGCTAGGAAATGTAGTCAAGTTGTGTGACTAGAAGAGGAGAACATATATTTTGATGGACATTTAGCAGTCTCTGCTACAATTGAGCTATGTCGAGGTTAGGTTATCCTGAAGAGAACTTTTAGGATAAGCTGTAGGAATTTCCCTAAGAATAAGCTGGAAGGACCCTTGAAGATCATGAGTTGGACATAAGTAAACTAAATCTTCAAATCAGTCTGTTATTGGTAGTCCATCATCAGTTGTTCTGTGGAGAACAAAAGAGGGAGTCCTGTATTCATGCTTGGGTCAGAATGATAAAGCGGAAGAGGGTCGTCCCCCTCTAATAGGTGGCAGAGTCACAATGGTCACCAAGAGCAAGAAACCCCAAGGAGAAGGTGACTCATAGTGCTAGGGTCCAGGGTTCTTGGTCTTGTTGGACTTCTGCATCAGGAAGTTCTCCTCCTTTTGCCTCGCAAGGAGGTTCTAAATTTTATTTTTATTAAATATGACCATAATTTTACCTACGGATCCTAATTCAATTCAGCTAATATATGGGAATTATATTATATACTAGGCACTGTAGTAATAGTAGAAAAATACCAGTTAGCCTGGTAACGTGGAACTTGTCTTGTTGGTATAGTTATTCACTTGGGAGTAATCCACATTCTCCACAGGCTCCTCCTCGTATTCCTGTGACAGTCCTGTGGCCCTGTCATTATGATTTAATCTTGTGGCACATGTGGGGCAGTGATAATTGGCACAAGGGCCATGGCTGGTGGTTAACTACCCAGCCAGCTTTGTGCTTGGCATTGGCTGGTAAGAAGCAATGTAGAGAACACAACACAGGGCTTCCAGTTGACTTGGTCTGAAGTTCCTTCCTGGCTTATCATGGTGTTTCTTTTTCACTGCTTTCTCCTGTGGACTGCACTCAGCTAAGGATGTTCAGAAATCTCATCCAAACTTCTGGCAACTTTCTTCTTTCTACACTTTTGACTGATGACTTCATAAAGCTCCAGACAGTGGGGCAGCTTCCAGACTCTGCAACTTCATTAGTCTCCTTGTCTATTCTGGGTGAGATAAGCAATCCTAGACAAATGGAAAAGCTGCTTGTCTCAATCGCCGAAGCCTTATGTTTCTCAGGGTTATGTACGTCGCTTAACTTTTAGCTCTTCTTTCCCAGCTTAAGCTTCTGGCCTTGTTCAAATGCCATGTTCTACTTAAGTAATTATTTGAAGTGATGTTGGCATCTTTGTTTAATTTCTAATTCCTTGTTTTGATTTCCCCCCCGCTGGATAGTGTTTATTTTTACCAGACCATTTGTATTTCCTTTGATGCCCATGTCCTAAGTGCTTGATGAATTGGATCTTTGCATTAGGCCTAAAATATTAAGAGGAAGCAGAGAGATAACAGAAGGAAGGAGGCAGATGGGGAGCAGGCTGCAAGGGTCTGGTGCAATATAAATCAGGCCTCGAGGAGGTATTTGGTTGTGAATGTGGAGGAAGGGGGTAAAAATCCCACAAATTACATGAGGAAAAGACAAAGAGAGAGAAATTAATCAGTGATAGGCAAAATGGAGCAGTCATTGAAGTAAACTAGGAAACACTTCCTGTGTTCTGTGCTTGACATAGATGAGAGGAGGAATTGGGGTGATGGTTCGGATTTTTAAGGGAAAAACAAAGAACTTATTAAAACTGAGGACATTCCTAGGTCCATCTTCGACAATCTTTCAGTGCCAAAAAGAGATGTCAGAAATGCAGACCAGAACTAGCAGCACTTCTTACCTTCCATGGAAGGTACAAATCAAATGCAAATGGGTGTGTGTGTGTGTGTGTGTGTGTGCGCGCGCATCTGTGTCTGTGTTTGGAGGGAGAGGGTCCATTTCTTCTTTCAGGATCCAATAGGGGTCCATGATCCATAAATGGTTTAAGGGTTACTGGATTAGAGGGTCTGTGTGTCCTGAGAGTAGTCAAGGCTATGACGGAAATGAGATATGACTAGGAGAAAGCCTCTAGAGAGCCAGCCCTGATGGCCTAGTGGTTAACGTTCGGCGTGCTCTGCTTCGGCGGCCCAGGTTCGGTTCCCAGGCTCGGAACCACACCACTCGTCTGTCAGTAGCCATGCTGTGGCAACAGCTCACATAGAAGAACTAAAGGGACCTACAACTAGAATACACAGCTATGTACTGGGGCTTTAGGAAGGGGAAAAAAAAAAAAGAGGAAGATTGGCAACAGATGTTAGCTCAGGGCAAATCTTTCCCAGGAAAAAGAAAAACAAAAAAGAAAGCCCCTAGAGGTTAAAGAGCCTGATGTAAAACCAGTGTGGAATGAAGATGCTGTAAGGGATTAACGTTCCACAGCTCTATGGTGAAGACTGAGTGTCAAGCTTTAAATGTTCAGATAGGAAATTAGGGCCCCACACTGTGGAATCTGTGAGAGCATTTATCTCCACATCAAAGTACGTGAAGTATAAAAAATAAAATCATGGGTTCACATTCCACAAACCTAGTTTTATATTTTTTAAACTAACGTTCTCTAAGAGTGCAGTCTTGCAATAGCATTTTGGATTGATTTTTCTACTCTACCTTGTTCTCAAACTAACCTTTTGTTCTACCTAGGACATTTTCAGTCATCACCCAATAAAAGTCTAGGCTAGTATCCAAAGGCACAGTAAATAATGATATTTCTATTTTTATGAAGGCACTAACACCTATTTGTGTTCCTGCTAGCAAAACTGCTGAGTTCTTGAGCGGACTGGACACAGAGTTGCCCCACAGACGTACCTGTCAAATTGCTCTTCGTGACCCACAGCCTTCAACTTGGGTAAGTGGAATGCCACGCAGAGTGCCATGTGGCATTTTGAAAGAGGTGTTTGGTAAATGAAGATTAAGGGCATAGAGTGACCTGTACACCATAGAATATTGAAACTAAAGGCAGATGGCCTGATCTGATACTTGGACCTCAACTTGTTCCCAGCTATATAACAGTGCTGGTACTTGTTACCTCATTATGGGCACCTGGACTAAACATCAGCCTCTGAAAAGCCTTTGGTCTCACCCAGTTATCCATCCATCTATCCATCCTTCAGATTTTTAAGTTTACATAAAGTCTACCGAGTCCATACAATTTCTGCCTGGAAGGACCTTAGTCAAGTGAAGGAGAAAACCATAGTTATAAAGCAAAGTGGTGAGTGTAGAGCATATAACAGTTAGAAAGCTGAAGCTTAAAAAATGAGTCTGTAAAGTGAAGAGAGTCATTCCAGGTTTCAGAAGTTAATCAAGACACAGAAGCAAGAATTGAGGTATAATGGCAAGAAAAAGCATGACTTGTATTAGGGAAGAAGAGTTTTGTCTAGCTGCAGTCTAGAGGAGTGAGCTAGAAGGCTGAGAAGCAGGCAGGAGCCATGAGGAGATTTCTCAATAGTGGCAATTTGAGTGGGGTAGTTCATTGTGTGGGCCATCTTGGATACTGTAGGATGATCAGCATTCCTGACCCCTAGGCACAAAGTGCTGGTAGCATTCCCCAGACATTGAGACATCCAGAAATGCCCCACACAGGAAGCTGTGGTGCTCCTGGTAGAACACCACTGTGGAAATTTGCAAGCCACATTGGAGAACTTGAACCTCATTCTGTAAGTACTGAAGGTACTGAAAAGTTTTAAACAGGGACTGTTCAAGGTCAGATTTGTGTTTTAGCTGGATCACACTGGTAACCATGTGAAGGATAGATCTAAAGGAACAGAGAGGCAGAGCCGCTTCTGTATTAGTCTGGGTGAGGAATGATGAAGACTTGAATTAGAGTGGTGAGTAAGAGGATGGAGGTGACAGTATAGGCCAGAGAACTTTAAGGTCAGTGAAATTGGCAGGGCTTGATTATTGACTGGCTAATGGGGACAAGAAAATAAGTGTAATTAAGGATGACTCCAGGAAAGGGTTGTAGTTGAAAGAAAACATGGGTTTAAGTTTTAAAGTCTTAGTTTTTCCAAGGTCTTGGTAGGTAAGTGATAAGATAAGTTGTCAGAGAAATCTGATCATCGTCTCCCATCCTCCTTTTCTCTTTAGTGACCATATTTTAAAAAATCAGGAAGACATTATGAAACTCCTTGGAAAAGGTCATTATGCTCTTACCTACAAATCTTTAAGTGTTCCTTTTTTTTTTTTTTTTTTTTCCTGCTTTTAATGTGGTGTTCCAAAGTCTAAATTTACCAATGTGGACTCCATAAGTCACATCAAATTCATCATCTCTCTCCTGTCATTGCAGGGCTCTGGAGGAAAGAGTTGAGAAGCTGTAGGTAGTAGAGCTAAATACTGTGTAGGGCACAGTCCTTGACCTCTGTCCAGATACCCCGTGGCCATGAGGAAGGGGAGGGAAAACAGGAGTTGGATAGCTTTACCAACTGGGTGTTTGGCTGCAGGATGGCCTTGATTTCTGTTTGAGGGCTTCCTGAATCCTGTGGTTTGAAACACCTGGCAGAACTGTGTGTGCTTGCTCTATTGATTTTGGCTCATTTCTTCAATTTAACAGTTTAAAATTCATCTTGAATTTTAATATTGTCATCCAAAGCATTAGTAATGTCTCCCAGAGCTGCATTTTCTGTGGATTGATTAGTGCATTAGTCACACGATCCTCAGAGTTATTAATAGAAGACACAGAGCAGGATTGGACCCAGGATGGTTCCCTCTGTACTACATTCAATAGCTGTCCCCATTTTGACACCAAACTATTAATAATTTGTTGGTGTTCAATATATTTAACTGACTTTTTACCCATATTATACTCTTCTCATTCTGTCTAATCCATATGCATAGAATTCTTCTGAGAACGCTTTGCAGAACCATTTCTAATGCTTTAGGAAAATCAAATATGTACGTACATTGAGCTTTTGTGAAGTTAAGACACCTGCGGTTTGCCTTAACCATGGTCAATGTGCAGAATGTGAACACTGTGTGATACTTATCCATATGGGGTGTGATGAGTTGTTTTTTTTAAGAAATTTTAATTTTACTGCAAAATGCAACTTGCCTGAGAAAACGGTTCTTCTTACATTTATTTAAATGTGGGTCTGTCATGGGCAGATGGGAATTTAATAAACACTGTATGATTTTGCCAATGAAAAAGACTAGAAGAAAATTCCTTTAGGTGTTACACAAGAAAACTTCAGACCAAAATAACTTACAGTGTTCACTTACGCATGGGTTGATATAGTTCTCTATACTGTGTGTGTGTGTGTGTGTGTGTGTGTGTGTGTGTGTGTGTGTGTAGGCAGAAGTACCAGCATCATCATACCTTCCTCAGTCATTTTCATTGAATATTTGCACACTAAGTGGTTTCCAGTCTCTGGTTTCTGCCCCATGCCTCTTCCTCTTCTACAAAGAATAATAATTTTTAAAAATCTCATCCTATTGTTCCACTACCCTGTGGATCCCTATATCTTTTTTTTTTGGTGAGAAAGATTAGCCCTGAGCTAACGTCTGTTGCCAATCCTCCTCTTTTTGCTGAGAAAGATTAGCCCTGAGCTAATACCCATGCCCATCTTCCTCTACTTTATATGGGATGCTGCCACAGCATGGCTTGACAAGCAGTGCCTAGGTCTGTGTCTGGGATCTGAACCTGTGAACCCTGGGCCGCCAAAGCAGAGCATGCAAACTTAACTACTATGCCACCGGACTGACCCCTGGCTCCCTGTATCTTCAAGGATAAACTCAAAATGCCTTCACTTAAGCATAGATCGTTTCTACTCTCTGCTTACCCCCCCACCCCCCAGTTCACCTCTCTACAGTCCTAGAGTCCGGGTCTTTGCTGCTCAAATTATGGTCCATGGATCAGCAGTACGAGCATCACCTGGGAGCTTATAGTAATGTAGACAAATCTCAGGCCCCACTTCAGACTGAGTCAGGACCTGCATTTTCACACGGTCCCTGGGTGATTTGTGTGCACATTAGTGTTTGAGGAGCGCTGCCCTGCAGCTCATGCCTTTCTGGCCATATCCTCTCACTTCCGCTGCTCTGAACACTTAGTGCAGTTTGGTTATTTTAATTTTATCCATGTGTCACATGTTCTTTAAAAAGTGAACACTTAAAGACATATGTCCCTTGCACCCCTTCAGTTCAACCTCTACTCCAATACTTTAAACTCCTTGTATTAATTTCCCATTGCTTATGAAATAAATAAGTCCTGGGGATGTAATGTACAGCATGGTGACTATCGTTAATAATACTGTATTGCATATTTGAAAGTTGCTAAGAGACTAGATCTTAAAAGTTCTCATCACAAGAAAAAAAATTTTTGTATCTATATATGGTGATGGATGTTAATAGACTTATTATGGCGATCATTTTGCAGTATATAAAAATATCAAATCATTGCATTGTACATCTGAAACTAATATAATGTTGTATATCAGTTATACCTTGATAAAAAAAATTTCCCATTGTTGCTGTCACAGATTACTGCAAACTCAGCGTCTTAAAACAATACAAATTTATCCTCTTACAGTTTTGGAGGTCAGAACTCAGAAATGAGTATAAAGGGGCTAAAATTGGGTGTCAGCAGGGCTGGAGGCTCTAGGTGGGAGTCTGTTCCTTGCCTCTGCCAGCTGCTCTTGGCTGCCAGCATTCTTTGGCATGTGGCTGCATCACTCTAATCTCTACCAGCTCCCGACTCTTTGACTTTGCCTTCCTCTTATAAGGACGCTTGTGATTACATTGGACCCACCTGGGTCATTCAGATTATCTTTCCATCTCAAGATCCTTAATATCTGCAAAGTCCCTTTTGCCATATTTACAGCTTTCAGGGATTAGGACAAGGACATCTTCGGTAGGCCAGTGTTCAGCCCACCACACTCCCCTAGCTGTTTCTTTTGTGATTTGGCTCTCCACATCTGGTAATGTGTATATTGCTATCTCTTGATTAATCAGTTTTAGATCTTATTAATTTCTTCTCCCCATTCTCCTAATATAATTATTCAGTATTTCAGGCTTTCCCTTAATATGACTATGTAAATGTTTTCTTATTGCCAAGCCAGTTGGTATACTCTATATTTTCTTTCTTTTTCAATTTTAAAAAATTTTTATTTTATTTTTGCATTTTCTTAGTTTTCTTTGAGCATTTGACTGCCTTCCTTCAGGTTTTGTGACTGTTCTACAAAATTCCTCTTGATGCAAATTTCCACACCATTTTCCATCTTGTACCTGTCAGATAACTTGTCAATTCCTTGTTTCTTTCCTTCCTGGAAATGGCCCTCCTATATCCCTCTTACCTCCTGCCTTGACCTGGTCTGATTGTTCTTTAGGCCTCCTACACAGCTGTTGTCCTGGGACTTTCCTTTCGGAGAAAGGTTCTCAACCTCGTCTGCACATTGGAATCAGCTGGGGGGCTTTAAAATTCACTGCTGTCTGGGTCTCACCCCTGGAGATCTGGCTGTATTGTGGCCTGGGCTTCAGGGTTTTTAAAGCTCCCCAGGTAATTCTAGTGTGCAGCCGAGGATGAGAACGACTGCTTTAAAGTCATCTGGGGAATTGCTTTGATTGCTTTCCTGTATTGGGTCCCCTGATTTCTGGGTCTCATTTCTTTTTGCTTTATTTAGTAGCTCTCAAGAGAAGATGCGTGTCAAGTCCTTGCATATCTGAAACTATCTTTATTCAGCCCTCATTCTTAACTTGCAATTTTCTGTTAAGTGTTCTAAATTGCAAATAATTTTCCTCCAGAATTTTGAAGGCATTGCACTTCTAACTTTGAGTATTGGTTTGAAGACATCTGAATTTCAGTCCTTTTATGAGGGCTTTTCCCTGGAGCTATTTTAATATCTTCTCTTTTTTTTCTGGTATTCTGTAATTTCATAATGATGTGTCTTAGCCTAAGGGTCATTGTTATTCATTTTCAGTCTGGAACCTCATCTCTAGTTCTAGGTGATTTTCTTGTGTTATTTCTTTGATTTATTTCCCTTCATTTTCTCTATGGAATTCTTATTATTCAGATCCTAGGCCTTCTAGATTTATCTTCTAATATTTTAGTAAAAAATATTTTTCTCCTCTAATTTATCTTTGACTACTTTTTTTTCCTACTTCCTGGCATATTGAATTAGAAGAAACCCCAGTCCCTTCCTTCCTTCCTGTCTGTCTCCTTTACTTTCATACTACTACCACACTCACAGCACGTCTGACACCAGATAAGTGGGTTTTTTCCCCACCTGAAGAAATTCTGCAACATCAGCTGGGTGTCCTACAATTGAACTCAATTCTGACACTATCTACCTGGAGGTAGTGTCAGTTCCCACAGGTTAAGGGCTCAGTCCCATGAGACTGCCTCCCACTTCAGATGCCAGTTGCAAGGAGTATGTCCCCAGATTACCCACAAGTTCTGTCTGACATGGCTACAAATTGGAGGTTCTCTGACCCCCTCCTTGGGTTTGATTAATTTGCTAGAGTGGCTCACAGAACTCAGGGGAACACTTACATTTGCCAGTTTATTAAAGGATATGATAAAGGATACGGATGAACAGCCAGATGAAAGGAATACATAGGGCAAGGTCTGGAAGGGTCCTGAGCTCAGGAGCTTCTGTCCCCATGGAGTAGGGGTTCAGCCACTCTCCCAGTATATAGATGTGTTCACTTACCTGGAAGTTCCCCGAACCCCTGTACTTTTGGGATTTTTATAGAGGCTTCCTCGCGTAGGCATGATCAATTATTAACTCAATTTTCAGCTCCTCTCCCCTCTCTGGAGGATGGAGGAAGGGCTGGGACTGAAAATTCCAAACTTCTAATCATGGTTTGGTCTTTTTGGTGACCAGCCCCCATCCAGGAGCCCACCCAGAGTCACCTCATTAGAACAAAAGGTGCTCCTGGTGCTCTTATCACTTAGGAATTTACAAGGGTTTCAGGAGCTCCATGTCAGGAACTGGGGGCAGATATATATATATCTACATATACATATGTGTGTATATATGTATATGTACACACACATATATACGTACATATATATACACACACACATACATACGTATACACACATATATAATTTTTTTTTCTATTATTTCACATATTTTCTTGACTTTAGCTTCAAAACATTTTACTGGTTTGTCTTTCTGTGGGGGAAAGGGAGATATTTTTAATTTCTAAGACCTCCTTTATTCTCTGTTGCTTTTTAAAAATAGCAACCTGTTCTTCTTTCATGGATAAAATATCACCTTCACCTCTCAGAGGAAACAGTGCAGGCAGCAGAAGAAAACTTCAAAGAGGGGACCCTGAGGCCCACTGCTCAGTATGCAGGATTTTACACAATCTTTTCATTCTCAACCTGGGATTTGACCACTGCTGCCTTCTGTGCTAGGCGTGCCTGGTTTAGTTTATCCTGAGAATACACTTTTGGTTTCCTGTCAGAGTTGGAAGATTAGCACCTGAATTTTCAGGGTGGGAGCGGGCATAGACACCTTCCTGTCACCCATCTGTCTTCCCCAATAGCTAGTGCATCCATTTCCTGGGCCCTCGTGTTGCTCTGTGGAGAAAATTGGCTCCTTGTAGGTGTCCTCTCTTTGCTTACCAGAAAATCTTTAGGTTTGTTCTTTTCCTCTCTTACTCACTTACCATTTCCTCATCTACTTTGTCTTCATAGATTTTCATCTGAGAATATAGATTTCTCTTAGTTTTTGAAGGTAGTTTGTGTTTGTTTCATTTTCTCCTCTGTTTAGCATGATTTTTGAGAGAAGAATGGAGCAGAAACATCTTTACTCCACCATCCTGAAATGGGAACTTAATGCTTGTCGTGGGTTGAGTTGTGTCCCCCCAAAATTCATATGTTGACGTCCTAACCTCCCGTACTTCAGAATACAACCGTATTTGGAGATAAGGTCTTTATAGTCAATAATCAAGCTAAAATGAGATCATTAGAATGGGCTCTAATCCAATAGGAAAGGTGTCCTTGTAAAAAGGGGACATTAGGACATAGAGACACATACAGGGAAGATGATGTGAATTGACATAGGGAGAAGTCAGCCATCTACAAGCCAGGGAGAGAAGCTTAGATCCTTCCCTCACAGGCCTCAGAAGGATGCAGCCTTGCAGACACCTTGATTTTGGACTTCTGGCCTCCAGAACTGTGAGATGATAAATGTCTGTTGTTTAAACCACCCAGTCTGTGGTACTTTGTCATGGCAGCCCCAGCAAAGTAATACAATGCTGGTTTTCATTTGTTCACACAATGCCTTTCCCCCTAGTTAGTCTGATTCCTACTCACTCTTTAAAACACAAGCTAATGTCACCCACTTTGAGAAGGTGTCCTTGATCCAGTTTAATTAAATGTCCTTCTTTTGAGCTTCTCCTATCACAATACCTATCATTCGGTACTATAATCGTTAATCTTCTTCTCTGACTTCCACGCTAGGCTATAAGCACTTGAGATCTGGGATCATGTCTTACCACAGTGCTTGCGCATAGGAGGCTTAAATATTGTTCATTGAATGAATATATAGTAAGCGTAGCTTTTGGGGGAGGATAAGTAAAAATGTGTATTTTAGTTGAATAACAAATTTAGCACTAATAGTATATTAAATTAGTACTTAACAATAGAAAAATTATGTGAATACAATGATTTATAAATTTCAGGGATTTAGAACTGAGAAAAGTAGTGATCAGAAGGTTTTCTCCCCCTATTTTTTTTTTTTAAAGATTTTTTTTTTTATTTATTCATTTTTTTCCCCCCAAAGCCCCAGTAGATAGTTGTATGTCATAGGTTCACATCCTTCTAGTTGCTGTACGTGGGTCCCGGCCTCGCGTTGGACGGAGAAGTGGTGCCTTGGGGCGTGCCCGGGATCCGAACCCGGGCCGCCAGCATCAGAGCGCGCGCACTTAACCGCTAAGCCACGGAGCCGGCCCCCCCTATTATTTTTGAACAGAAACTTCCTGTCCTGCCCAGGGATCACAGCTGGGTAAGCAAGCACTGGTATTGCAAGTAACTTGGAACTCTTCATAGTTAAGATGCCATATGACTTCCCAGTTTCTGTGGCCTTTTAAATTTTGTGTGTCTAATAATCATTTTTTTTTCTGAGTCAAAAACTAGGATCCATATTCTGATTTAAGAAAAACAAAGTGGTTAAGTTTAAAAGGAAGGTATACAAATAGAATTTAGACTCATTGCTCAAGTCATCACGTCTGCTTTGACTAAATATTCTACTCCTCCTTTTAATCTCTTGAATAGAGGATGGGGCCCCTGTCATCCTTCCCTTCTTTCAGGTCTTATGTGGAATATTCATGATGAAGACTAGCCTTCTCTAATATAAAAAGAAGGGGTCACTGGAGAACCACTGCCCACCTTCTGTGTCTTATCACAGTCCCCTCGTGTTTAGGATATAGATAAGAGAAAGTCATTGGATGAGTTGCCTGTCTAATGTAGCAGGATTTCAATATACAAAGGCTTTCTGAACACATCTGGAGCTCCACTTTTCTAATTAGTAGTGTTATAGATGATACAATTCCGAAAGCCTCTCTCCCTCTCTGACAAGTGCTGCTTGTTATTTGATGGAATATGGGTTTTATAGTGACAGAAATGGGGGAATGAATTAAGAAGTGCTTGAGAAAAATTATAGCAGGGGAAAAGCGGGGGCCAACCTACATAAGCTTTATAGATTATTAGTCCAAAGAACTAGGCCTGAAATATGTAGCCTACTGCCATGGTGCTGCTGGTAGTTTTATGGGAACAATGGAATTTCCTGCACATTAGCTTATCAGGCTGGCCTCTCTGCCTTACAGAGGCTGGGCTACAAATCAGGGTGAGGGAGAGAAACTGTATGACAAATGAACAGATAGAAAACTTGAAATCTCGTAAATTCTGGAATACGTGGTCACTCTGCCGGTGTGTTGGACTCTTACATGGTGGGTCAGTGGGACTGAAGGACATCCTGTTGGGTGTGCTGCCTCTCCTAGGGCTTCCCCCTTGAGGTCCTAATTCGGCCGGAAATGATGATACCTGTGCTCCTGAACAGGCTTTGTTTTCCCTCTCAGAAACAGAAACAAGCTTCAGGTACAGATTAGGTGCAAAGACTTAGAAAGAAATGCATCTCTGGAATTATATGTTATCCATCACCGGTTGACAGGCTATTTAATAGGATACCATTAATGAACAGTGGACATGTCAATGCTTCTAAAGTCAGTCTTTACTTGTCTCTGATATTGACTAATTAGTTGGAATATTCTTGAAAAATATATTTAACTTTCCTCTATTTCAGATCTTTCTCACTAGAAAGAATAAACCTGTTGATTATCTCTGAAGGGATATTTTTAAAGTTTAATTAAACAAACATTTAGATCATCCTTTAAAATGTGCTGGATGATTGTGCTTATACTAGTCTTCTTATATATCCCAAGGGACATCTTCAGACATATGCATAAATCACTCAATAAGCAAGTGTGTGTGGAGAGCTTACTGAATGCTTAGTACCGAGGTTGAGTTATTAGAACCAGTCCCATGGTAGGCATACACTATATTGTGGTGATGCTTTTTCCTATGACTTTTTTTCCTATACCTTTACAGGCCAGAAGCCGGGCTTATAAGGAGTCTCTAAAGGAAGAAGAAAATAAAAAGTTCCAAAAGATGAAGGAGGAACAACATCAGAAGGTATTCACAAGACCCTATTAGTCATTGCGATTTATTTGCTTGTGGTACTAGATAATTTTGAAGGGTTTCTGAATAGAAATATTTATGTACATGAAAATCCTGAAAAAATAGCACAAGCGTTAAAGATAAAAGGTGAGATGTGGGTGTGTTTTAAGAATATGGCGGGGTGGTGGCTCCTTCTGGTCAAAACTCACATGGTACGTAGCCTTATAGGGGTCTATAGTGGGTCTGCCATAGTTGGTGCCAGCAGTTCATGGAGAAGGTGATAGAACACTTGAGAACTTCTGAATTACAAAATAAAACATAACCAATCACTGCCACTTTTAAACCAAAGATATAAAACAAAGTTATGAAACTGGCTTAAATATTCACCTAAAAATAGACATATAATGAAATATAAAAATACACTACAGATTGATACAAATATGTGAGGCATTTCAAATGTTTTAAGCAACAGAAATCAGTGAAATGAATACAGAGCCTCCTAAAGTGCTGATGGGGTAGTCCTTATTAGAATATGAAATTTCTGGTATGGTGACTGAAAACATTCAGTGTTGTGACTTGATGGTCATTCTTGCCTGTGACACATAGGCTCAAATTGGGCCAGAAACTCCTCAGCCTGGGATGAGAATGATGCAGATCAGTGATTAGCTCCAAGGTGCCACTTCATTCCAGAGCCTTTAAAAAAGCAAAATAAATGATCCAGCTAGTTGGAGGCCATTATCTGCCTCATCATTCTTATTTTCCAACTTTTCTTCTCGCCATATTGGTGGTTACAACCTGTCATCTCTTATCTCTCAAATCTATTTTTTCAATTATACAATTAACTTGAATTCCGAGTCCCATTTTGATTTCCTTGATTTTGTTTAGTTTGTTTTTTTTTCCGTCTATCTTTGCTGCACAAAGTAATTTATTATAGCAATTTTGTGTGAAAATCACATTGTGAAATGGACTATATGTACTAATTGTTGTTGCTATAATTTGACGTTTTGAGTGCTCCCTCGTCCTAGCAGTGGTCAACCCCTTGCTCATTCCTAGTTTCACCCAGCGTATGGTATAAATGACTGTGTCACTCAACTGTTTTGTACATAGTAGGTAGTAATTAAATCATTGAAAGAAATAATGTAAGTTGTAAATTTAGTTAAGCTATTACATAAGCAATGAAGAAATCATGAAACATTTTTAACCAGTGGAGTTTTTTTTAAAAAAACAAATATCCTTTTCTTTTGACAAAGGCTTCATGAGATTGAAATCCACAATTAAGTAAGAAATTTTGTAGTAAGATCCCAGTAATTAGCAAGTAGAAGCTAAATCTGGTGTACACTCTGTTGTATTTTCAATAATGTCCATCAAATGACATGAAAGTGATAATCTGTTTCTGTGATCTTGTAACTTAATACCAAGTCCTGAGGTATTTAGATACAGAGGAGAATGTGTAAGTCAGCGTAGATATGATTTATTTTAAAATAACTTCCAGTGAATTTTAAATAGTGTTTTATAAAGTTTGGTGTATATATTTGGAATGTGAAAACCATTAAAAGTAGAACATTTCACAAAGAGAATGCTCAACGATTAAAAAATCAGATCTGGGATTTAATTTTCAGGTTGAGCAGTTATTTTAAACAGTGAAACTTAAGCTTTTTATTTCTTAATCTTGTTTTTCTTCTGGAGTGAGACAAGTGTTGATACATACATATTTTCTGGTTATTGATTGAACATATTTTTATTATATAATCTTTTGCATAAATTATTTCCCTTTACTTACTGTAGCTTTCAGTAAAATGAATAACTTTAGCGTACAGATAATTCCGTGCTTAGGGATTTCAATAACAGTAGAATACATAAGAAAACTTACCATGTATTCTACCTTGTTTTTGCTTCTCTTCCTTTTTGTTCAATCTCTTGTTGGAAAATGTCCACTGAAGGCTGTCCCTAATTGGTAGAGTCTGTCATTCCTTATCACTTCAAAGATTTAGTTTAAGAAAACAAGAAGGATCATGTTTATGGTAAGAAGATACAGAAAAAAATACATTTATATCATTGCATCTGTTTATGTGTTTGTTCATTCTATTCATTCAACAAATATGTTGAATACCTACCGTGGAGTAATTCATAAGTAGATCATCTAGGTTAAATTGAGGTGACAGCACATTTGTTTTGCTCCGTGTGTCTCTGACTTCCACATTCATCCATTATTCTGGTCTCTGGGGACAGTAGGTTCTTTCTAAGGTTAACCTCGCAATATTTTATGTTTGATTCAGTTCTCTTTTCTTCAAAAAATTTATTTATAATTCCCTTTTTCCCCTATACCTGCAATATGTTCTTTTCCATTAACTACTTCTTTTGTCAACAAATATGCTCTCTCTCACTCTTTTGCCATTTTAAAATAAACCAAATAACCCCTTCCTTGATTCTGCTATCTGAGATATCACCTTTTCTGCTTCTAGCGAATTACCTTTGTCTTTTTTTTTTAATCTTACTGTAATTACATCTTTATTACCCACTTCATCCTAATTCTTTATGTTCTAGTTTATATTCACAAATGCTGTTAATGAAACTGCTCTCTCAAGGTAAAATCCCTTCTGAACATTCAATTCAGGGATCTTTTTGCAATCCCTGTCTCCTTGTAACTATGTAACATTAACACCACTTTAAAGCTTTCCTTTTATGGCTTTTTCTTTTTTTTTTTTTTTTTACTGTATTATTTTGGTTGATCTATCTCAGAGTAATCTATCCCAGTATTCCTTCATTCATTCACTCATTCGTTCATCCATTCATTCATTCTATCAACAAACATATACTGAGTTCCTGTTACATGCTGAGCCTTGTGGGAGATGATAGAGCTTCAATTAAGAACAGGATAGACAGGACCCCTGCCCATCTGAAGTTTACTTTTTAATGGAGGAGATAGACAATTAAAAGGAGACAAAGAAATAAAGCATTGCACTTTTTGTTTTACAGTGATTAATCACTATGTAGTAATTAATGCTGCAAAAGAAATAAATTGTGTGTTGTGATAACTTCAGAATGTTGTATCCAGTATTGTTGATTGCCTACTTCTCTCTTAAAACCCTATTTTTTAGTTCAGGTGTCCATCCTAATTAGCATGGCCTGTGTTTCAGAGAAGGCAGACACACACCCCAGTCCCAGCGATCCAATGCCAAATGGTCTAACTCTTCATGGGAGTTCCATTTTCCTTGACGTGATTGGTTCAACCATGGACACAGGAAGTAGTTCCAACCAAAGGGACTTAGGGGAAGCCTGCCTGTCAGTACAGATTTTTATCAATATGACGAATACGACTCTTCTTATTTAATGATGTTTCAGCTTGATTTCTTTTTTTTTTTTTAATTTTTATTTATTTTTTCCCTCAAAGCCCCAGTAGATAGTTGTATGTCATAGCTGCACATCCTTCTAGTTGCTGTATGGGGGACGCGGCCTCAGCATGGCTGGAGAAGCGGTGCGTCGGTGCGAGCCCGGGATCCAAACCCTGGGCTGCCAGCAGCGGAGCGCACGCACTTAACCGCTAAGCCACGGGGCCGGCCCTCAGCTTGATTTCTTATCTATTTTGTCTGATTCTAATATTTTCTCTACCAGCTTTTTTGTTAGAGTTTATGTGGCAATTTCTTTTTCCATCACCTAATTTTAACCTCTCTATGTCGCTTGGCTTAAATTAGGTTTCTAGTAACAAAAATGACTGATTTTTCTTTTACCCAGTTTCATAGTCTCTTTTAATGGGTAAATTTAATATATTCTCACGTACTGTGATTACTAGTATATTTGCACATATTCTTGTTACATAATTTACTTTTTAACTATGTTTTCTATTCTTTATTTTCTTGCCTCTTTGAATTTTCTCTGTTCCATTTATTTACTTTTCTTCTCTTCTCCCCTTCCTGTCATAAGATATTTCAGCATTTTTGTTTTTAATCTTGTTTGGCCTTTGGTTGGCCCATTTGATCTCAAAATATGTGTCTCACTTCAGTTTAGGGAAATTTCTATTTTCCTTTTATATTTCTTCCCCTATATTGTCTCTTCTCTTCATTTCTGGGATGTGTATCAAATAGATTTTGGAAATTTGACATCTGTTCTCTATATCTCTTGTTTTTCTTATACTTCTTCTCTCTTTGGCCTTTTTCATTACACCTTGGGAGAAACCTTTAGCTAGATAATCCTGCTCGCTAAATTATTTCATAAGTTTCCGTTCTGTTTATTTGGCACATGTATTGAATTTGTTTAATTACCAAAATTGCTGACTGACTTTTTCATAGCAATATTCTATTTTATAAGTGATGTATTCTTTCTGATCTCTTCGCTGATGGTAATTATACAAACATTAAGGTTTTCTATTTACTGTTTTAACAGTATTTTTTTCTTTCCATATTAAGTTTTATCTCCCATGGTTTTCTTTCTCGAATGTTTGGTGATTCTTGGTTATTTTCTCATGTTTCTTTGGGCATGCTACCAAGTGAGGTATGCAGGAGCTTTTCTTCTGGGTGTGGGTAGCCTCTTGTTCTCCTATAGTCAGTAGGTACCTGGGACACTGTCCTGTTTCTTTGAGCCCAAACACCCCTCCTCCATATACTATTTACCCAGTGGGCCATGTCAATGCCTAGGCTGCCTATTGTGTAATATAAGTGGGGGAGGGGAAAGAGCCCACTGCCAGGCTGCTCTCAGTGCAGTTCTCCAGCTCATCATCTTCAAGACCACCCTAGTATTCCCTCTTGAAGCTCCTTCAGAAGCATTGCTAACTCTGCTCCAGTTTATCCTGCACATTTGTTTCTCTGTATAATTTATTCTATCTCCTTTCTACCTTTCAGGAATTTTAAAAAATTTCTGATAGGGTGAGTGCACTTACTGACTTTGCGCGGTTATCGATTTTATATAGTCATTTAGAAAGTAAAAACAAACCAAAAAATAAGAAAATACTTAAATTACTGGGTGACAGAAAATTATTATAGAATACATAAAAAATTATGGTGAAGGCACTTTTTAGGGAA